TAATAAACATGCTGCCGTCACACTAAAGGACTGATCTGCAGAATGTGTCACCATGACAACTTCAACTGGACCCAATGTTCTGGTGCTGATCCCGTTAAAAATAAAAAACATCAAAAAAGAAGTGAGAACTAAAACAAAGCCCTGTGGGACTCCAAAGAAACAAGCTGTCTTCAAGTTTCTGAGGTAACTTCCACCTTTACTTTTTAGTTTTAAAACTCATCACTGTTGCTATGGTTACACCTGGCGGAGTTTCCAGTCTCTGGATCAGAGTCGTGTGTAAACTGATCTTGTTTTAGTTTGAAAACTCTGGTTTAGGTTTTAGTCTGAACACAAACTGAGACTTTAGTAAACGATGACGCCCACGCTCTCTTCTGATTGGTTCTCATCAGTCACATGACTCGACTACCAGCGGTGAATATGAAGCGTCGCTAACACTTCCTGTCAGGAACAGTTCCACCTCGTCGTCGCTCAGAGAAAAGAAATCTCTGCTCTGACTCTTCACCATCACTGCTCCTCCTTCAGAGGAGTTTCTGTTACCAAGCAACCAACTGCTGAGGAGACACTCTACTTCCTGTTTACATCACATGACCAGTGGAGGTGAACGGTCATGTGACGTGTATTCTCAGGAGAATTATTTCTGATACAGAGATAAATCGCTCGTGTAGACGGAGAGAGATTGAGACGTGTTGGTGTGGGCAGAGTCACAACGAGTCAGAGTAACACGAGAGACATGAGACACAAACACCTGAAAGACAAAGACGGGTTAAAATGTCCACGTGTTTAAACGAAGACAAAACATTTGTGAATGAGACGACAAAGTTGAACTGAGACTAAACAAACAAATGTTGTGCGACAACAAACAGTTGAATCCACAATCAGACACCAGCTTCTATTTTTCTACTTTCTTGTCCTCTGTTCATCGTTGTAATTATCGTTCTGATTGGAGATCGCTGTGAAAACTCAGCAGGGACGACGAGTGTGTGTGTGTGTGTGTGTGTGTGTGTGTGTGTGTGTGTGTGTNGAGGGCTGTGTGTGTGTGTGTGTGTGTGTGTGTGTGTGTGTGTGTGTGTGTGTGTGTGTGTGTGTGTGTGTGTTCACTGTTTGTGTGTATAATTCAATTCATTGCAGATTAAAGTGAAGGAGAGTGAGGGAGTGAACGAGGGAGGGATTGAAGGTTATGGAGGAAGAATAATATTCTCCACATGTACTGTGTGTGTGTGTGACAGCTGCTGCACCAGAGATGCCCTCAGGGCAGCAAGGACGCACACACAATCACACAATCTGTCTCTCATGCTCTGTATTTTTTGCTCTACCCTCCTCCTCCTTGTTTAAGTCTGGTCTGCTACAAAATACACACACACACCTCCAGGGCAAAGCTCGCTTCCTGTTTGCCGATGCTTGGCGGTAGCTGCTTTATTTGGCAGACGCACACACGTTACACACAAACAAACACACTCACAGGCACATTAACACGCACACTCTGTCTGGCTGCTAAGCGGTGCAGACTGTTGCCGTGGCGTCAGCAGCTCACCGATGTAGATTCTCTACCTAATTATCCACATCCACAGAATTCATTTAGAATCATTTCAAAAAAATAAGGAATACAAATATTTTGAAACGAGACACAAAACAAGAAACATGTTTCTCTGTGAAAATACAACGAACAGGGACGTCTGCCTCAGAGCCACTGAGCCAGGCACTGCTCCACCTGAACACCACAGACACTTTACACATAAATAATCAGAATCAGACATTTAAACATGAAAGTACTGAGACAAGTAAGTACAGAAAATATTACGAACAAGGTTTGTATTCACCGCTGGTAGTCGAGTCATGTGACTGATCAGGAAGAGAACGTCTGCGTCATCGTTTACAAAAGTCTCGGTTTCTGTTCATCCAGACTAAAACACAACCCCAGGGTTTTCAAAATAAAACAAGACCAGCAGAAGAGAACAACTCTGCAGTTTATTTCTGTCAGTACAACAAAACAGAAAATAACAGAGGACCTCAAACGCAGCCCTGAGGAACTCCACATGAGAATAAATCTCTGGTGTAACACTCACAATCCTTGACTGAATGCTAATCACTTTAAATGTCACACACACACAGGTTTCTCCATCTGACTCATCTCGCTCGCCCGGCCACAGACCTCTCTCTCCGCAGAACACACTCTGTGCCCAACCCGCCCCTCTGGAGATGCGCCGGCTCATCGTGAACAAAAACGCTGGAGAGACTCTGCTGCAGCGCGCCGCCCGCCTGGGATACGAGGTAACAAGACACAAACGCACACAGGTGAGGTAGCAGCAACTAGCAGCTTATAGCAAGTAAACACAGGAAGCAGGAAGTCGTCATTCAAACACCTGAGTGAAGACGAGAAGGACAAGAAGAAAACATAAAATCCTCCCCCCCAATAAAGTGAAACGTAAACTGGCCAAATAATAATAATAAAACTGTTATGTTATGACGATAAGCAAAAAAGATGACTGTGATGGGAGGAGGGGAGAGGAGGGGAGAGGAGGGGAGAGGAGGGGAGGAGGAGAAAAGATGAAGAGAAGTGTAAGATCAATCTAAACCAATTTGCTCAAATAACTATGTGTCTTCATCGATCTATAGTATTGCATATATATCTGTTCATTGTTTAAAAAATACTACCATCAAATATTACACATTTTGGGCCCGAATGTGTTTGCTGTCTTATGTATACATGCCAATTTAAAGATATTTAGGTATATTTTATATTTTTGATGTCAAAATGAGTATATACAGTTATATAAACATTTTATATATTATATGCACATAAACATATGTGACTTACATTACAGTGTTCAACATAGTTTCAAACAAAATTCCTATAAATGAATCTTGTGTGTTAATAATGAGTTGTGAGATTTTGGTCCAAACTGTCTCATGTCATTCCTGCTCCCCAGAGGACGAGCCCCTCAGATTTAATGACCCTCGATCTTTTCTTTATCGTTGTCCACAGCAGGAATCATCAGGTGACTTCTGTCATTGAAATTCAGTCTGCGTCTGAAAATCATTTGGAGGCGGAAAACTGTGTGTGTGTGTGTGTGTTGAATATTTCATGCACAGTGTGGCAGCTTTTGTCGAGTGGCACCCTGCTTCTTGCTCTCTCACTCCCTCGCTCGCTCTCGTTGAGGTGCAGCGGTGAAGCTAACGAGCTCAGTTTGCAAATGAAGCCATCATCCATCACAGCGCACACACACACACACACACACACACACAGAGCACATACTCACGTGTGTGTGTGTGTGTTTATATACAGTGATGATGGTAGATTCACTCCTAAATATCTCATCAATGATCCATATAAAGTCTAACAGCTCTGGTCTCCTTGTGTCCAGGAGGTGGTGCTGTACTGTCTGGAGAGGCGGCTCTGTGATGTTAACCATCGAGACCATGCTGGGTACTGCGCCCTGCATGAAGCCTGTGCACGTGGCTGGCTGGGTATTGTGCGCCACCTGGTGGAGCATGGAGCCAATGTCAACTGCAGTGCTCAGGATGGAACCAGGTACGAGTTGTCCCATGTTTTTTGTTTCTTTGTGTAATAATCAGATTGTGTGAAATCAACATCTCTCAGATGTGCTGGACGTCTGGTTCTCATGATGTCTGTGATGTCTGTGGTTTTATTGTCTGTATGAATTATGTCTGTATTTTCAGTGATTCCTAAACTTTTCATACATTCTCTTTATACGCTATGTGTTTGTCTTCTTTATTATATCATTATTTTGATGATGAAGATGTGTTGGACTTCACTCCAGTTTTCTGTTTCTCGTCAGGCCGCTGCATGACGCTGTGGAGAACGACCACGTGGAGGTGGTGCGCTTCCTGCTGGCCTGTGGCGCCGACCCCACCCTCACGTCCTACTCAGGACGAGGGCCAATCAACATGACCCACAGCGCTGCCATGGAAACCTTCCTGGAGGGTAAGAGGTGTGTGTGTGTGTGTGTGTGTGTGTGTTTACCAGTCCCTGCCTGTATTTGTTCTCTCTCCCTCCATCGCTCCTTCTTTTCCTCTCTGGGGTTTAATGAGGCTTGGATGCTGAATCCCAGAACAGCTAATTGCCCCCCCCCACCCCACACACACACACACACACACATGGACCAAAAAACCACTAACTCTCCGCCTCTCTGCAGAATATCTCTGTGACCTCCAGGGGAGGTCGGAGGGCGACCAGGAAACGTACTGGGAGTTTTACGGCAGCTCGGCGTGCGGTTAGTTTACACACAAACACACATAAACACACACACCAGGGAGATATTCAGGGGTGAGGGTTTGTTTCCATCGCAGGAACTTTCCTCGGGAATCAGAGTCGACGTTTAGTTCAGAAGAAAATAGTTTTACTCAGGGCGGAGTTAGGAGGAGGAAAAGGGACATTAGGGGCGGGGCTTACAATGCTGGAAAGGCATGCTTAGTTAACTACTCCAGGGTTTTTTTTTTAGTGTCCACAACAGCTCGTTACCCTAAAAGTTCCAGGAACAGACAGAACCTAAGAATCAGGGCTAGGATTCAGTCAAGAGAACTAAATAAATAATAAAATAAATATATAGTTTGTATAAGTGTTATCTGCATATAGATGAATCTTGACTGAAGACAGAATGTCGGACTTAAAGGTTTAGTGTGTAAGATTCAGGTGAAATGGATCGATTGGCAGAATATAAAATAATCCTAGTGATGTAGTGAATACTGTGTGATCATCTAAATTGCACAAATTGTTGTTGTCTTTACCCTTTATATAAATACTCTCTACGGAGGCCGCCATGTTGTTTACAGTAGTCTAGACCGAACAAACACCTTTTGAGTTTCTATGACAGCTGAAGGCTAGCACAGGGGTGTTCAGCTGCAGCATGACACTTCAACAGTAGATGTCACTAAATTCTACACATTGAACCTTGAAGTATTTTTGACGTTCTTTAACACTTTTTGTTTCCAACAGAGCCGCCCAGTGACGGAGAAGTGTATAACATCCTGGCCGATCCACCGGGGCCAGAGGACGAAGAGGAGGATGAAGAGGAGGGTGAGGACAAGGAGCAACATGCACGAAGAGAGGTGTTCGAGTTCGAACTGTCCGACCGACCACTGCTGCCCTGCTACAACATCCAGGTGCTGTTGTCACAGGGGTGAGTCCGATAACTCAGTTCAAACTATGGGATTAGCAAGAGACAGAGCTAAAAAAAACTTTTAACAACATTAGAGTACAAGAAATGACAGCAGGTAAAACGACTCCTCGGAATAAAAAATACGTTAACCTGCGCCTGCGTCTAAAGACCAGAGGAGATAAAACAATGATCAGCTTTATTTTCCGTGTTCGAGTTCAAATACTAGAATCAGACTCTGCTGCACTGACACAATAATATTTACTCCTGACTCTCAGAAACGAGCAAAATAAGAGAAACTGTTCATGACACGAGTTCAACAAACATTTAACCACTAATTATGAGCAGAGGACAAAGGATGCTGGACCAAGTATCATCATCATCATCATCATCATCATTATACAGACACACACAGACACACACACATAGACACACACAGACACACACAGACACACACAGACACACACATAGACACACACAGATACACACACAGACACACACACAGACACACACACACACCAATTAAAGTGAGAGAGCAGCTTAAAAAAGAAAGAAGGGAATAGCAGAGGAGGGAGAGAGAGAACGAAGGACAGATCGTTAACAGGGATTGCATCGCCGTGGCGACGCAGCTAATTGGCTTCCACTTTGTCTTCCTCCCCTGTAAACTTCTCTTCAGGTCATTAAACTCTTCTTCTCTCCTTCTCCTCCAGACCCAGGAACTGGCTTCTCCTCGCCGATGTCTTAGGTCGCCTTCGGATGACGTCACGGTCTTTCAGGCGCCTCTTCCCTCAGATCAACGTACAATCCGTCCCTGAAGATGAGTTCTACCGACAGGCATCTCTGTCGCAGCTGCTGACGGGTCCTGACGAGCAGGAGTTGGTCTCGCTCAGGCCAGACGTCAAAGACCCTCTGGAGCTGGTGGAGGCCACGCCCGAGCTCGCCGGCATGCTGGGCTCCTCCCTGGAGTTCGTGGACAGTCACTCGCTGAATGCTTCGCCCAATCTGAGACCCTCAGTGACATTTTCCTGTGTTCCTGTGTTATTACCTCCACAGCCACTGGGGGCAGAAGAGGGAAACATGTTGCACAACAGAACCAAGCCGATAGAAAGTCGAGGACTGAAGAAGCTGGTGTTTTCTGCTGCTAAAACAGAAACTAAACAACATGCTAACACGTGGGAACCACAACAACAAAGAAGTAAACATGTCGTAGGTCCTTCGCCAACAAAGACAAACATTACATTCAACGCTCGCATCTGGGAACAACAAGGATTACGAATTAAGAAAGCTGGTCTCATTAACTCTGACTGTGAGATGGACACCAGCATGTGGGAACAACGACCAAGAGGCAAAATTATGGCCGGGGCTTCCGCTAATTCTGACACAATGGGCAGAGCTAACATGTGGGAGCCTCAAAGACTCCGAAGTAGGAACCCTGTGAATTCTGACACCGCCCTGTCAGAACCTCAGCGACTGAGCAATAAAAACACTGAAAATTCGAACTCTTCAGATTCAAATGTTGCAGCTGACGCTAACACATGGAAACGACAAAATCAACGAAGTAAGACTGACAGCGTTTCTGATTTTACAGATCGAGGTGCTTCACTGGAGGGAAGCATCTGGGAACCACAGCGACTGAGCATTAAGAACGCCGCCATTACCAGCCCGGCGACAGCAGACACTAACCTGTGGCAACGACACGGACTAAAGAGAGTGGGTGGAAACATCTGTGGCTCTAAGTTAGCTAATAGCATCAAGATGGACGCTGCCTGGCAAAGGAACCTGGGTAACGTTGGAGTCCACATCAGGGACATGGGGATGAAAGTCGCCACCGTCCACAGAGACCTGAAAAACGAGGGGGGGGAGGTCGTCGGTAAGAATGGAGTTAAAATACGATCGTGACAGAGTGGGAGGAATGAAACACGTAAATAAGATCAGAGAGGCAACATGAACATTAAAGGAACAGTAACACGTGTGTTATATGTTTGTGTTTTTGTCAGATTCCACTGGTGGGAACACGCTGCTGTTTCTCTGTAACATGATTCGTTCTCTTGTGTGTAAACAAACTATTTATTGTCCAATCAAAACCAGGAAGACGTTTGTCTCAACGTGTCGTGTAAAACCATCAATGTTAGCTCCTGTCTCTTTAAGACCCTCCTCCTCTCCTCGCTCTGATTGGTCAGCTGACACACTCTGTTATGATTGGTCTACAGCTTCCAGTGTGTGTAGGAAAGTGAGACATCTCAAACCAGCTGCTGGACACGTGTGACGTAAACACGCACAGGGTTATGTTTAGTTAAGTTAAGGTTTAGCTAAGGTTAGGTTTAGTTATGTTTGGGTTAAGTTAAGTTAAGGTTTAGCTAAGGTTAGGTTTAGTTATGTTTGGGTT